TTTTTTTTTCGCAGTGTCACGGTTCCAATTTGCGCATACATTGTCAGGGTTCCAATAGGTTTCATAAGTACATTGTAGAAATTTCAATGTTATTAGCAAGTTTGTTGCCATAGGAAGCTAAATATGTTGGTTTTCCAAATTCATTTTCAATAACATCTAGCAGAGAATTTGGTGAGTGTGAGATTCGAATACACCATTACTTTCTCTATTTGTTAATACTTTAGAAATTGTATGAGGAGAATATATCCCAATCCCTGAAAGACAATTATGGGCATTATGCGTTTGTTGTTAAACATTATGCCGCTTCTATGCCTGTTCTTATATATACTTCCCGTGCGTTAATAACTATTAATTCTGGGAAGGTAATAATTTGAAGCAAGATATCTTGCTCTACTTTATAAACCTAGGAAGCATTTATTCAGCACTGGCCATTATTGGGCGAGCATTTATCCAACCGGAGATGCTATAAGTAGTAAACATGATATTCAAGAGTACTTTGATAGAGAAATATCATAAATAATCGGTAGACTTTAGTCTGATATGGGTAATAGGAACTACTATGTTGCAGACTATCAGTGATAAGACCGCTATTGGACCTAAGAATAATGCAACATGGTCATTAATATGACAAATAGATCGAACTTGGGTAAACTATATTCCGAAATTTTTTTAAAGATTTTGTGAATATAAAACAGAACTTTATAAGATGAGGCAAATTTTGAAGAATTAAAGTTAATTAAGGATTTCTGACTTTGAGAGGGTTGAGACTGAATTCGAAGGGAAGTTGTCCAGATAGTGCGTGGACTCCTAGTGTATGTTGTGCTTTTATTCAAAGGAAATATCTCTACCAAGCTTTGCTTTGTGGTTCCGATAAAGTTTATGTACGACAAAGCTTTCTCCGGGTCATTTAAAGAAGCCCACACAGAAAAATGACTATAGATTACTGTACTTCTAGTAATGTAGAAATTGCTACACTCCACATCACTTTAGAAAATGCAATATTTTCTATGGAGGGTAGTAGCGCATTCATTCGAATGTTAAGCTAGCAAAGATTTAGTGGTAGCTTTTATGTTGCGACCAAAACTGTTGGGCTGAATCCATTGTCTAACATTTTCCCTGGAGTTTCTCAAGGATCATCAGGAAAATCGTCGGGCAGTGTAATTTCATGTGAACTAAAATTATTTGGGAAACATGTCAAGACAATAAATAGGAAATTGATAATAATTGTACTTTTTCTGAAGTTTTTGAATGATACGTACAGAATCATTCGATACAAGGAGAATAAAGAAAGATATCTTTACGAAGAAATCATATAGATAGTGTATATTATGTGTAGTTTTCGTTAAATATCGAATAATTCCGATGAATATTTCCTTTGCAACTCAAAGACCATACGTGAGGAAAAAACCTTATAGTGCATGTGAAAATAAACCTAATTGGAATCAAGAAAGAGATGAATGATCTGCAGCACAGCGCGAAAAAGTAACACAAAAAGTGATATGACACCGTTCCAATGGTGGGCAACCACCGTTCTATAGTTATCATTATAACGCATATAAAACTCATATGATTTTAATATTCCAAATTGAACATCCAATAGATGTCTGTAATAACATGTCCAAATCTCAGAAGGAAAATAAAACTTATATTTTTAAAATTTGCCAAACATTTCTCTCATCTACAATGTCTCATTTTTTTTTTGCAAAAATCTAAGAAAATTAAAAACTACAATTTCTACTTTGAGGAAAAGCTTTTGAAAAGACCTATTCTCCATGGAATATACTCTACATCATTGAAATACTAAAATACACGCTCTAATTCATAAATCGGAGGAATGGTTCCTGTCTTAAAATGTGCAGTTAGAAATTTTGTATGGCCCATTTTTTTTCGCACTATCGAGGTTCCGCTCTCAAAAAGATCTGTCGAGGTTCCAATAGCTTTCATTGATAAGAAGAGACTCCTTCAATTTATAGAAAACTATCAGCATAAAAGAAATATTTACACATGTATGTCCAACTAGAGACTCGATAAACGCTGCATCAAAAATTGACGTGTGCAAACCTCTTCCATAAAAATGCAACGCTGTAAAATAGCGTAAATGAGCACTTTTTTTTCCATTTGACAATCAACTTGCAATTTGTTGTTTTTGGGTCGCACGCCAGGTTTTACAGGTTACGTTATGTTGTATCGTCATGGAAAATCAAATCTTGTCACATTGCCAATCGACTTTTGGGTCATTGAACCTAGAGGCGCAATCTTCAAGTGCACGGATAGTAATTCCAAAAATTTTTAAATTTAATGATGTTAAATCTATAGTCTGTCTTATAGTTCCTATTTTATAATTCCTACATTAGATGAACCGTTAAAAATTTGTAGATTTAGCTTTCATCATAATGAATAAAGTTAGATCTTGTACTACCTTTTGATTTGTATTACAATTTATTTGCAAGTTTGGCAATACAGAGTATCAGTATCGAACCTCTGCGGATGATGAAACCCAAATTAGAAAGCGAATCAGTAAAAGACATATGCCATAAATTGAATGTCTCTAAATTCAGACTCGCGAATTCGCATTAACAGATCCTTCATAGAGAGTTTGATTATTCTCTGCAGTCGCCCACCAATCCCAGACCCCTTTACGGAAACGGGTGATTCTACTATTATCCTATCCGATTAATTTTTTTTCCAAAAATTTTACCTGATGTATTGCTAAATGTTGAGCATTTTTTATAAATGATAATTCTATGTATGTAATGGGTTAGTATTAGCCTACGTGTAACGCAACATTTCGATGTCGATTATAATTGTACTTGAATGATCCTTGGCTAACAATTTGACGCATCTTTACGCTTGATTTCGAGACCCCCACCGGCGATATCCCCACCATATTTGCTTTCCCCTTCATGTTAGTAATGATATACCCAGAAATTTTGATATATAAATCTTATTATTCCTGTGAATTAATCTATATTCAATTCACTATATGTATATTAAATTAAAGTGAAACATAAAATATTAGCTTAAAAAATGTCGGGTTGGAACAGATTAATTAGATTCGAGGCTAATGACGGCAAAATTTACAGAGGAGACGCAATCGTCTCGGATTCTGATTATGACATTGGTAAACAATTTGCTGAAGGGAAAACCATCAAAGCCAGGGTCGTGATTGGTAGTAATATCTTTACTGACGCCAAGGTGACTGACGAGGTATTGGAAGTTAAGAAATTATTGGGACCTCTTACTGCCGAGGATGTCCCTGTTGTTAAATGTATTGGAATGAATTACAAGGAACACTTAATGGGTATAATTGAGCCACCACCATATCCACAACTCTTTTATAAGCCACGCACGAGTGTCGCTGATCAGAATGAGGATATTCCAATCCCACTGTTCGCACAAAATACTTGTGATTATGAAGGTGAATTATGTGTCGTCATAGGAAAGACAGGTAAAAATATAAATGAGGAAGACGCATTGAGTTATGTTGCAGGATATGTTTCAGGAAATGATTTATCAGCTCGTGATTGGCAATACTTCCCAGAGTATGCTGGAAAAGTACCACAATTGGGATTTTCTAAGAGTTTTGATAGATACGCACCTTTGGGACCAGCAATCGTTTCTTCTAAAATCATTAAAGATCCCCATGCACTTCAACTCCAAACTAGAATTAATGGTGACCTTCGTCAAAACTGTGGTACCGATGATCTTTTGTTTAATATTTCAAGAATTATTGCCTTTATTAGTCAAGAAACTACTTTAGAACAGGGAACAGTGATTATGACAGGTACTCCTAATGGTTGCGGAGGTATCGATGGAAAATACTTAAAAGATGGGGACCTTGTAGAAGTTACTATTGATCAAATCGGAACACTCTCTCATAAGATTAAGTTCCTTTAAATATTAAATTTAGAACGATTATTTTATTTAGAATCATAATTTATAAGAATGCACCTTTTCGTCTTTTATAAAATAGAAAGTGCTTTTGTTCTTTACTAATATACATTAAATGCTTTTTTATTTTTTTGTCACATGAGACTAAGTGAGGATTTAAGTAAGATGTTAATTTCCGTAATAAAAAAAATTATGAGAATATTTTATTTATGTTATTGTAGTACCTGAGTGATGAGCCATCTACCAGATTTGATGATATGGATCAATGCATGAAAATCTCCACATATGCCACCATTTTGAATTCAACGTAGAGTGGACTTCGAGTTATCTTCACTTTAACAGTAATTTTTGATGGATATAATACGACCCAGCTCCATTCCGTAGCAACGCAAGACCGATGTAGAAGCATACAGATTTGTCCTTACTTTTGAGTCTTCTTACCTCAATTTTTGATACTTCGGATGTGCTTGCTCATTTTCATCCGGAATTGGTTTAACGCACAAATCTCGACTTTTGTTCGACCTGATCTTATATGCACACTTGGAAATTATATGCACATCGCTCAGTGACCAGCGAATATGCAATGTACACGCTCACCTATTAGTGGTCTACTAATCTGGTAATTGCAACACTTATAACAAGTTTAGCTTTGGAAAAATAAACTGGTACTCTCCATGCCTCAATGATTGATATAGCATATGTCATTTTGAGAAATTTTCAATACATAAAAACAATTTTTTAATTTTTGTTCAATCTCGAAGTTAATGGAATATTTTTATAAATTAACTGAGATTTGAAATGGCTACAGCTTGACAAAAACAAGATTTCTACTTTACCACTGTTTTTTATCATTATCGGATAGTGTTTTGCCTTTTATACACGAAATCACAACCTCAGAACATGAGCTTCAGTATAAGAAATGTGAGTCGTATTGAGGCCTAATTATCAACAATATAGTTTTTTATTTTCGCGCATATTTTTGAGTAAGTCAACAGTGTAGTTTTTTCATATTATACCCGCATTGAAATGTTCTTCATTAAGAGGTACGCGCCGCTATGTCGACTATGTAGAAGTATTTGGCTAAAGAGACTCTACAACATAATAAAGAAACCTATGAAAAAGCTAAAGAGCAATTGAATATAATCCACCTTTACAACTTAATACATGGAGATATAAGCCCAAGGAATATTTTATATTCTCAAGGGAAGGTATAATTTATCGATTTTGGATACTCAGAATACACAGAAGATAAATTAGGTTCCAACCCAGTGAGTACTAACCCTGAGAGGATCAAGAGTGAACACCAACAGTTGTGTGGTATATTTGATCAGCCAATTCCAAAGGAATATGAATAATCAAATGAAGTATGTATGGGTTCATATATAGAGGCGAAGAGACAATAGGGGTTTTAATGATACGTAGCCAGTAGTAAGCATAACCGACTCTGAAGAGTGCGAATGCGGGAATAATATCAGTATAAAAGGTACGCATCTCACTTTCCATTATACCAAGAGCACCATTGAAAAAAAAATCTCGAAAGGAACCATCAGGTATACGAGATTATTGAACGGACTCTGGGATACTCAGGGGCCACCTTCCCAATATAGAAATATGCTACATTTATTTTCGTTCTGAAGAACTGCGTCGTGTTGAATCGGCACGTCTGCATGACGCTGATATCTGTTCCGTTGAATGTCATCATACTTTTGAATTGAAATATACCTTCGTAGACCCTGCGGTGTCATCTGATTCTACAACCAGTTCATCAAAAACCATTTCATCACTAGAATTTCCATGATCATTCCACCTGCTTTCATTATATTTGCCTTCCGAATCCTTGTCCGCACATAGAATACTATCTTGTAATTCATGCTGGCTGTTGTACCTATGACCAACAATAGGAATAATCTCGTCAAGAGCTCCATGGTCTCTTTTTTTCCGATCTTCGCTACTTGGGTAAACAGCTAACCCAAAATCTATCAAAGTGATCCTTCCTGATATTGAAACATGTATATTGTCGAGTCTAATATCATTATGTGAAATTCCCAACAGATGGAGTTTCATGAGCCTATCCTTAACTACCTTATGCACCCTACATTTATCCCATTCATTAGATGGCATTTCTTCTCCCAAATCTTCAAATATATGCATTGGCTGGCTGGGAATACCATTCCAGTATCCAGAAACTATAAGCTTTGCGAATTTTGCAGCAAAAGACGAATTCGCAAGCATCTCATTAATTTCAAGTTCATTGACGTACATGTCGTAGTAATTATCTTTATCTGGAAAATTTTCTTGGGCCTGCTCAGGATAGTTGTACCATTTAACAAAGACTGTGGACGGAAGCAACAATCCCAAATTAGGAAAAGATGCAGCAGGATTATATATTATACGACAAAATGTGTTACCTCGAATGGCATCAAAATCAACTTCATTGCTTTCTTCTATAGTTATCAATCGTTTTCGAAGTTGACTGCCAGACATCTTGCTACGTTTCCGTTTACGACTTGGTGTGGGTTCTTCCACAAGTCGAGGAAGAACATTCGCTAATGGATCTGGCCCTTTGGTTTTCTGACTTATCTCAATTAGTCCTGTTAATTTCACTTTTGTACTGAGCGCCTCTGTATGCTCCTTATAGAAAAATCCTGCTATCGCTGACCTTAGAGTTATGCCATGTTCCACAGTCTCGGGATCATTAATAACGTAGTAGTCTATGATCATTTTTCCATCATCGATAATCTCATATTTGAAAAACCCCGAAAATGACTGATGATCTGAGATAAACACTCTATGTGTCCCACAGAGAAAGGCTTGATAAAGATATTTTCTTAAAACTAATGCGCATAAAACTCTGGGCGACCATTCGCGATCTGTGCTGGTTTTCATGCAGTCTCAATTGTTTCCAGTTCAAACGTTTTTCTACGAAGTCCGTTATAGCTAATTTCAATTCTAGAAGTCCTTTAGTTAAAAAATAGTTTTCCGTCTTATAATCTCCTATTGCAAAGCAAATATCTGGATTTTGACGAGTTAATGCCTCATCCCAAGACACATGGACAATATCGGGCTTAAAGTTTGGGTTTGCCGACAACGGAGGTATGATTGAACCGTGACCAAAATGGTGGTATTCATCCAAGATAAAGTCTAGCAGTGGTATCTTCTATTTGATGAGAAAAGTACAGCTGGATATCATCTTCCACATGCCTGACATCTCCTAAAGGATAACCATAGTCTTCTGCCAAAATTCGACGACCGAAATTTGTTTTTTTAATAACCTTATCAAGAGGAGCCAAATATGTATTTTTGAATTCATCACTGCTGATCTCTCTAAATTCTGCCGTCATCATCGCATTCGTAACATAATTTAGAGCCAGCATCACAGTCGTATATCCAGTGGAAACTGAAGCATTATGTTTGGATACTATATGTTCCAACATAGGTAGTTTTTGATTATGTGGGACATTTCTGATTTTCAAGAGGTGAGTGTCTAAAAAGACTCTTATGTTTTGTTTATTGTCATCTTGAACCCTAGCATATAATGATGGGTTAATCCTAATGTATTTATTGGCGGGGTCATCATACGTAATATTGTTACTATCTTCACCCGAAAAGTACATACATGACATGATAATATGTTGAGTATTGAGGTGCTGTGGTTGTAATTTCATCCCTTATTTATTGATCTGGGGTTACCCTGAAATAAGTGACTTGCTTGATTATGTAATAAATCGTCATGACGAATCGGTGGGGAGTGTTACAAAGTAAATCCGATCTATAACTTGTATGTATACTGCATATGGGTTTTCCCTGCACTTGGAGATTGCGCTTTTCCCATAGTTAAGGTGCACACCCGTTTGGGTGCAATGTCGCAATGTTTGTTGCTGCTTATCAGGATTTACAGGCAATATACAGGGGCGAGAATACTAGGTTATAAAAGAAAACTCAGGTCACGGGATTCTGAAACAGAGTAATACGCTTAAACTCAATGTCGATGGTTTGAGTGAATCTGTTGTGGAACGCAGAGACGTATGTGGAATTCAGGACATCCTAATGGTTATCAAGTTTCAGAATGACGCTTAAAGACTTTCAGAAGATGCTTATAGCTTTGAGTTCTCTATTGAAACAGGAATTAAGAACATTTCCAGAAAGTTGGGATGTGGCTCTTATTGCAAGGATACAAAAGACGGTAAGCGAACATATAATTCCTGTTCGAAGAGTTATACCAAAGCAAAGAAAGATTGTGCCACAACTGGCACGGTAATCTGGTAGTGACATCAGATGTAGTTAAGACTTAACTCTCCTATTTTAATCTGTGTTATTCTTTCTTAATCTGATTTTCAATATATATTGTTTAACTACTGAGTTTTTGAAACAGCCTGTCCTGCACTTTATCTACTTTTTATCGTTTATTTAGCCGGTTTTATCTTAATTCAATTACCAACATTATCACATCGAAGTCTTAACAGAAATTTGAATATGGGATGTTCTAATCCGTTTTCTTGATTTTGCGTCGGAAAATTTGTTCTTTTTTCAATCAAATACATCTCAATATATATTATATTAAGGGAATAGTCATTCTCTTGATAATTATTGTCATTCCAAAACATAAGTAAAAAACAATTACTGCAGACCAATTTTAAAGATTTGCAGTTACAAATCTAGATGCTTTTAGTTAATTCCGAGATAAAATTCAAATCCAAAGCTTTTTTGGGAATTTGAGATAAATATCAAAATCGAAGCTCGTGGAATTTTTGGACTTGAGTATCATAAAATTAGTGATGGTTGGGTAGATTTGAACTTCCTGCGTTCATAGGAAATGAAATTATTGGAGAAGTATTTAGAATTGGTAGCAAGGTATTAGCCTCAATGTGAATTATAGAGTCGGTATTGGTGCAGGAGTCGCTCAAGACAGTCTACTATTGAAACAGTCCATGACAAAGAAAACTAAAATATTATTTCTTTTATAAAAATATAAACCTAATTTGCATTCGAATTAAGAATAAACTTTCGTTTTCCAAAACAGCCTTAAACAAGTTAACTTTGGCAAGAAAAAAGGTTTCAACCTGGCGAACTTCACTTTTCACGGCAACATCCAAATCCATTAGTTTGTACATAGGCTCAACGAACCACATTATAACCGTGAATGGTAGAAATCTAGATTTTAGTAATAATTTCATCTTTAGTAGATCCCCCAGTATGAGATACTCCTAGATTACGCATTTCCTCATCAATTCTTTTGGGGGTATATGATGCACGATCAAATACAAATAATTTACCACCTGGTTTCAAAGTTTTCACTATCTTCTGGGTGGTATCAGCAGGGTCCGGCAAATGATGATACGATGCTGAACATATAGCTGCATCAAAATATTCATCCCTTGAAGACACAAATAATTCTTCTTTACCCCCTTCATCTTCAATTAATTCGGCATGAACCTCCTTAGGGTAAATTCCCTGGTTCTTGACTGGTTCATTATAGGCATTTACCATCATCTGAGCAATATCAAGCCTAATAATTTCAGAAGCATATGGCGCAAGTGCAGAAGAAACAAACCCCGGCCCGCAAGCAAACTCAAGTACTTTAAAGTTATCCTTGAAGAAATTCTTCAATTCCATATCATCTTGGTAATAATCATGGTTATTGGTATCAACCACTGATTCTAGTCATGGGAGTATTTCAACATTTGAGAAATTGCTGCCCTTTCAAGAGTACTGAAAGCTCCATTGGTGATAACAGATAGTCTTTCAGGGTAATCGTAAACTTTTAAATTATCGCCCACAATGTCATTTTTATGAGAATGGACCATTTTTGACATCAATAAGAGTTGGGTTGAAATTAATTGTTGCGGTAAACTGAAAACAATATGTACCTGCTGGATATATTTATATATAACTTGATTCTACACCATTTATCCATGTTTTTGTATCATGTTCAGACATCGAAACTCTCAAAAACAGACAGAGATTAATTGCCTAAATAGTTGAGCAACTTTTTGACCTTGTAATCATTTTTGTTTACTCTGTTTTTTTATTAAAGATTAGGTCTCCTGGACATTGAGTATTTTTGAAGTGAAAAAAAAGCTTTCCAGAAGCAAGCCTCTCTCCCTGTTCCTAGTGTGGAAATTGCAGATTACATTTGTCCTGCTAGAAATATGGCAACCCAACATCAGAGAAACTTATATTTATTGTCTCATAGCTCTCAGTATACTTCATTGATACATAGCAAAGTGGACTTGGAAAGTGTCCTTTTCGTGCCAAGTGCATTTATTTCAAGGATTGAATTTGACTTCTCAGTGCCATTTTTTCAGCAGATGCAGTGGCCTCTAGATTTCAACAATTGTATTCGGATTTGATGCTACTTCATTCAAGTACGTTAAGTCTCCGCATGTATCTTAGGAATATATTCATAGGTTGCATTTAATCTTCTCTTAGTTGTAATCAATCGCATTGAACGCTTCTTATATAAATAAATGAGTCTCCTCTCAAGGTAAGACACGAGGACTTGCAATCTAAAATTTTATAATGTAGAGGGAGACTTGTCGTTCAAAACATCCATATTCAGTTTGATTATCTCCAAGATAACGATATGTATTTCAATTAATGTCGTTGAATATGAATTTGTTAGCATATTTTGTTTTGGTTAGAAAACATGGGAGTCATTAAAGTTTCACCTTCTGTCCTTTTAAAATGGTAGCTTTTTGGTCTCGACAATATCGAGTGATCTTCGATATTTCCTTCTACCATATATCATAATATTGGGACGCGAATGAAATAAATCATTAGATTAGTGGCGTATTTTGGTATGAGCCCCCTTTCTACCAAGTGTATTTTTAGTACGAACTTCAGTTCGAAGTTCAACAATGATGCCACACACTCATATATGGGTTTGGACAAATAAATCTTCAAATTCAATTTTTAGGGTTTCTTCATCAGTCGATAATACATCTGTAACAAGTATATGCTTCAGGTGAAAACAACATGCAATTGCTATTACTGCCTTTCTTATGATACTTTCTAAAAGTATCCAAGAATATATATCAATAATATTAATAATGCAGCAAACGTGGCTATAATCCACCTAATTTATCAGGTATTGATCTTAATATGGCAGAGAATAGTAATAAATATCACTCAGGTACAATTTTCTCACCAATGACTAGCCATCCAATTACGCTCTATATATTTTTTTATCTCTAATAAGGGCATTATAAGGCTTTACTAATTAAGCTACCAGGGTAATAATAATATTTTATAAGAGAAAACAAGTATACATATATTAACAGTATATGTATGTGTTGCAAAACTTATACATCAGCGTTGCAAAATTTGGTGTATAAATAGAGGTGACTATTCCCTGAGGCTTGAGATAGACGAAAGAAGGGAGGAAATTAGGAACTAATTATAGGTAGTTAAAGTTAGTTAGCTAAGAATAAGAAGTTAGGTTCTATTTGGTCTATAAAACATATATAATATACAGAATATAGGTAAATACCATATTGATCCCCAGTTCACTTACATATTTATAACATTTTAAGGTATTAAATATACTTTCCTAGTATATCTATATATATTACTTATATATAAATATTTTTTCAATGCTTTTTCGTTCGTCCCCTACAAAACACTCTACCCTAAATCCGTGCAGCCAAACATATCTTTGGCGTGCTTCCAAAACTCCTTGTATAGCTCGTTCACCATCAATATCTTGTCCGGTAGCAAACCAAGCATCTAATCAACCAGCCGAGGTCGCTCGTATTGAGCTGACGGAGACGATCATCACCTTTCTATTATCCTGCTGGTCGACTATCGTCTGGAAAGCCGGCAACGTCCTATTGAATTTATGGTTGTATGACCGTGTGGAATCAAATGCCAAGTATGCTAGATTCTCCCAATTTTTGATAATATCCTTGGCGTTATTTCTCATCAACATATAGTCTGCAATGGCCAACTTCAAGAAATAGTTGATGCCATCGAGAATTTTGGCCCCCACCTTCGACTGCGCAAACCGGTCGTCAGGAAGCATCAACGAGATAATCACAGATTTCATAAACGTTTCCGTCCTGTCTTCTTCCACCATATACCTTTATTAACTATATTATGTAATACTATGTTTATTTGTTTTGATTGAGAAGGAGCCATGATGTCATGGCTCCATCAAAAGTAAACAAAACCACGATTCCAGTTTTTGTATGAGTTTGTGGCGCTTCTACCCAATTGCAGGGTATAGTACTCCTCAGGGTTTTCTTCGTTGTGGCCGCCGTCCTCATAAAAGCTACCAGCGGCTATGGCATCACCCTCAATGTCGACTCCGTCCAAATTACTTAGATCTGGTTGCTTCTCCCCTGCCACCACGGCAAGGCTTTCGTCATAATCCCTTTTGATGCAGTGGTGCATGATCCAGGGTATATTCGAAGAATAGAGCACCATTAAATCCACTAAATGATACACGGGGGCGCTTTTACTTAATTTTTCTTTCCGACAGATACTACCCAAGAGCACTCCCACAAAATACGAGTACAGCATATCACTGCAATCTAGCCTTTGACGTTCATCATTTCTTCTTCTCTCTATTACTTTTCGGGACTCTAGCAAGCCAATAGAAAACAAAAGTTCCGATAATGTTGATAGCTATGTAAGCAATGAATATCCCAAAATCTCTCCACCTCTCATTAAAATGGATATTGATAGATTCCAAATAATCATTTGTGGAAGCCATTTCACAAAATTCACATCCTTTGCTAAAGGAGGGATTAGTCAAATATCCTCCTGCTTTACTTATATACTTTTTCATGTAATCTCCACATGTTTTTCCAGCTGGTGCATCAAAAATTAATAATTCGCTTTGAGAGCAAGTCACCTTATTGTTCGCTAAAGCCGTACCTAGCGTGCCACCAGTCATATATGTCATGGGTGAAACCCGGTACATAAATATCCAAAATCCTGGCATCGCACCAGGAGTAGAAAGAATCCCACAGAATAGCAAACTCAATGTAAAAAGGGTAGTAGCTAAATTGGCAGCATTTTCGGGTACCTCAGAAAATGAAATGCACAATTGACCCAAAGTAGACGTATAGATAAAGAAACATATAATAAACAACCACATTAAAATGCCACGTGAGTCGACAGAATCGGTAATCTCGGCATTCTGATATAGCCCTACTGGATAGAACCAACACAAGAAAGCTAAAGTACCGACAACTATTTGAATAGGTATTTCAGATGTAACCTCGGCTGCGATAAATGTGAACCAAGAATACATTTTAGAAGGCGCTTCGCGCACCTCGTATAAACTTCGGTGTTCAATGAAATATGGCATCATTTGTTGAATCAAAGTAATTAATGGAATCATAAATTCAAACAAGGAAAACATTTGATTTTGTAGTCCTTGCAATGAACGATCAGATTTAAAGAAAGCAAATCCGTTGAATAAAGATACTATAATAACCATGGAAAACTTACCATAGATATAAGCAGGCGATCTCCAATTCTGTTGAAACACCCTAGTAGTTACAATTAGGTACTGTTTCCATATTGGTGCGGCATATTTTGTATGTTCTCCTGCCACCAATTCTTTTGGTTTAGTAACTAATTCTTTCTCCATTGTTTCTATTTCATATCTGACAACTTTATATTCGTGAGACCCTTTCCAAACTTCATGGTAGTTTTGATTAGCACGGAAACCCGGAGCAGCACCAACAACCTCTAACATCCATTCAACTGGGTTTGAACCTTCGGGGCATGGGTGAGACCCATATTTTTCAAAATAATTAATTAACGTAGAACATCCTTCACCGAGTTCTCCAAAGTAAACAGTTTGACCACCTTTCTGTAAAAATAGCAAACGGTCAAACTCTTTCAATAAAACAGCAGAAGGTTGATGTATAGTACATAATATTGCTTGCCCATTATCTGCTAACTTCCTCATTAGCTTACAAATAGACCATGCAGTTTGAGAGTCTAAGCCTGAGGTAGGTTCATCCAAGAATATCAACAATTTAGGCTTGGCTACTAATTCAACGCCAATAGTCAACCTTTTTCTTTGTTCAACATTTAAGCCTTCTCCAGCAACACCAACTAATGCGTCTGCATAAGTATTCATTTCTAAAAGATTGATTATATACTCGACGTATTCATTCTTTCCTTTCTTAGAAGTAGAATCAGGTTGCCTCAAATATGCCGAAAATTTCAATGCCTCACGGACGGTAGAGGTAGGTAAATGCAAATCCTGCTGCTGAACATAACCAATAGATCTCTGAAAAGAGCTATCCAACAAATGTCCATTTACCATTCTTACTCCATCTGATATAATACCAGTAGTTACACGCTCCGATAGACAATTTAACAATGTGGTCTTTCCAGCGCCCGATGATCCCATTAAAGCTGTCAATTGGCCAGGTTTAACCCAGCCATCTACGTGGTCCAAAATAACTCGTTCCTCGGATTTAATTTGCACTTGATAAGTTAAGTCCTTCCAAAAAAATATATCAGCCGCAGGAGCATCATCATGCTTCAAAATGCCAGGCGATGCAGTGCTATTAATAGCATCAATCTCATCCTTATGGTTAATGACTTCATCAATGATTCCATTTTCAATATCATTATTCCCAGGTTTACACTTTCGGGATTCCTTCTTGCGCCTCCTTAACGTTGATCTTAAAAACAAGACTATTTCTCCTTTTTGCATTGCACCTTTGTTAAATTCTGTTAGTAAAATATAGACACCTAAGAAGAAAACAATAAATGCAACCGCAATACCAAAGTTTCTCCATTTATGCGAATTATAATAAGAATAAGCAATGGCAATATAATCGGACCCATTGACGTAGTTAATGCCAGCTCTAGCTCCTACAGCTGAGCAAATTTGTTGATTAGGTTCTACTGCTTGGTAATCAGGTCCTGATGGGACAAAAGATGTGCAATTAAATATCCTATCTGCAAATTCATTAGCCATCAAACCTTCAAAAATATACCCAATAGGATTGATATAGTTAATCCAGCGTGACCAACCGAGCATATATGGAGTTGGGATAACGAATCCAGTGAAGATAACCATACCTATTAATAATATAGTCGCTGGAATCATAGCACCAGCCAATGATGTAGCAATAGCACCCAAACATCTGTATAAATGGGACATCACTAACATACAAAGAAAAGTCATTAACCAATAATAAAAAAACCGACCAGGGGCACGCCGCAAATTCACCATAAAATACATAGGAAAATTGAACGACATAGACATGAATAACTTCACAGGTAAGTCAGTAATAATTGAAGCACAAGCATCTGCAGATGGTCTGTATAGAGCGTATTTCTTATGTTTTTCAACAATAGTTCTGGCTTCAAATAAACTCATGACTTCCAATAATGTGGAAAATGCGTTAAACAAAACTGAAAAGAAAATAGCAGCCCCTCTGTAATAAAATGAGTCAACACTCAGGTCTAAATTATAAAAGACGGAAGCCAAAACTAAGCCCATGAATAATTGGCCAAAGATGTTAAAAATAGAAATTGAGGGATCTCCTTTCATTCTAAGTATATTGCGACCAATAATATATTTAGTCTGCATCATGAAAGACACTATATATGGAGATCTAGGAGAAATATGATCAGATTGTCTCGCAACATGAGATTCATGGTAGCTTCCCTTTTGCTGTTTGGTTTCCTCGCTATTAATATATTTATCAATCTCAGCAACTAAGGATAAATAATCAGGTGAATTTTTCCAGTACGCTTCAAATTCTTTTGGATTTCTTGGAACCAAGCTTTCATATCCAGACCTGACAACACGTTCAGGAGGGTTAGTTAAAGAAGTTAAGAAATCTGCAGTTGTCTGTCTTGAAGGACATTCGTAGCCCATGTTAAAAAAAAAGTCTTTTGCTTTTTCAGTTTTACCAAAAAATATTTGATAACCTTCGTATAGAACAATAACATTATCAAAAAGATCGTAAGCATCTTGCAGGCATTGATAAATAGCAATCAAAGGAGTGGCATTTAAAACGGTTGCTGATGTTTTCAAGGCTTTAATGAATTCCAATGCTGTAGCTGCATCTAAACCTCTAGTGGCATTATCCCAACATTGAATGTTGGCACCAGATAGCGAAGCTTCGGCAATAGAAACTCTTTTTCTTTCTCCTCCAGAAACGCCTCTAACGAAATCATTACCGACTTTGCTATTTCTAGTATGAGATAACCCATACGTGGCCATGTAAACAGATGCCATATGCTTAGCGTATGTTTCACGGTCAACATTACCTCTATTTTGTGGAGTTCTCAATCTTGCAGCAAATTCTAATGTATCAGCAACTGTTAACTGGGGGAAATGGATATCAGTTTCGGCTGAATAAATAACATCGCCTCTGTAGTTGTTTTCAATATCTTTCGGAGTTAAACCATCATATGAAATTTTCGATTCTTCCCCTAAGTTAAAACCGTAGGTATGTGATGATATTGTTTTTAATAAAGTTGAGCAACCAGAGCCAGGTCTTCCCAAAACTACCGTTAATTCACCGGGTTTCATAATAGCATCCATAGACTTCAAAATATCAAAATTCTTGTTAGAATCCGTCATCTTTAAAAAATCATATACCACCAGTGAAAGCTTTAGTATAACGTTTGATATTGTTGCTCGATAATCTGAATCAACAGAAATACCGTAGGCCCTTAAATCTCTATATGCTATACCTAGAGATGAAGGCTTATAATAATTATGATCATAATCAATTAATTTCCTCAAATTTTTGACCCAAAGTTTAGCATTGAACTCATCGCTATTGGGATCCAATGAAGGCTTGATATTACCGTGATATGGGGAAATACCAGGCACATGAGACATGCTTGATAAACAACTAGCTAGACCTTCCGCATTGTTATCTCCACTAGAAGAAACGGTTCTTGCAAGCTTTTTAATTTCACTATTATATATATCAAGCCCTTTGTATTCTTTAGTAGTTCCGTCTTCAGAAGTGAGCTCAATTCTATCAGAATTTGATATATCATTACTAATAAAGTGGGACTCTTTTACTGAATTTCCACCAGAGGTCGACATTTTAATATATAGTTCTCAATAAAGTTTGATTATAAATTAGAGGTGAATAAGATATTATATTACGAGTGCTGTAAGTTGATATTTATATTTGATGATATTTGCACCTATTCGTTCCGAGAAATTGGGCTCCGTGCTCGGTATCGTGCCGAAATTTTTTATTTCGGCCCTCAAATTCTCCGAAGACTTTTCTCACGGAAAAATCGTTCCGGAATACAGTTCCGATCTACTGGATTTCGTTCCGAATTGTTAAGACCCGATCTTAAAGATATCATTCAGGAACGTAACCGGGATGCATTTTAGGTGTAACGGCCGTGTATTCAAATATTAATGATTCCATCTTAGCTTAGTGTTAAGATGTTATTGACAAGTTTCTATTTAAGAATTTTTTAGCGTCAGTTTATTTAAAGAGCTATCCGAATATGACAAGATAGAAAAATCGATCATTCTGGAAAATTATGTCTAATGGCTCCATGCAGAGGTGAACATATTTACATCCATTTGGCTGAAAATGCACTATAAATATGTTTGACCATTTTAAGATGCTGCACAATGACAGATATATTGTATCCTCAATCTTTTTTTTAAGCAACCAGGACGGACAACTGTTATTGAGTGTGGGAAAGCATTGAATGTATGGGGGAGCGCACGGCGTCAAAGTGAACACTAGTCGGCAACAATAGTACTTATATCTGTTGGTGTACAAACAAAATCCATAAACCTAATAAATAATAATATCGCCCTAGATATATAATTACATCGTTTCAACTATAACGAGCACAAAAGTAAAACTAAAGAGAGAGCCTGATCTCTTTATTATCAATTACATGTTGGAACTTACGCAACACGTATGCAAACCAACAGCGCGCGAAACGTCTGTCAGATCCGCTCTTAGGTTGCAGCCATTTCCTTTTGTGATTCATTTGAGTGCCCTACTTCCTTCTTTTCTCTCACCAGCCAATTATTGTCCGGAGAATGAAAAATGCTGGCTTTCCAGTTGAGACAACTCCATTTCAACTATTAATGTGTATGGCAGTATATCACTGGGCGACATTGATTGCCATTCATCGATGTTATAGGACAGTTTTTTTGTTTCGCTATTCCCTCTTGATGCTGAACTCTTTCTTGTGGATGAAACATTTGTTTTCTCAATGCTTACAGTGAAGACATAATTTTGGTTTGGCTTCGATTCAACATTTTTTATCGACTTGCTTCTCATCTGTCTTCTCCGTTTTGTTACTCCAACGAAATTTTTCCTGCGCCTACATTTGAGTAGGTATTTGCTTTCGTTATCATTTGATTCATTATTCTCTCTTCTGATCCATTAACAGATTTGTTGGCTTTCAGTGGAATCAACTTTCTGAATCCCGATTGAATGTCGCCTAATATATTGTTGTATTTCGTTAATAATATGCTGCCAAAACTCTTCGCCATATTCAGAATTGATCTTATTATATACCAATTTCTATCTAGACATATATATGGATTATTTGTTAGTTATAAGCTAATTCTATGGTGAGTGACGGAATAAAAAAAAATACATAAATTCCTATTCGTATATTGTCGGAGCGGGTTATATCCTTACTGGATAAGAAAATTTGGGTGATGCAATTACTTTCACCTCTAAGTTTTTTCTTTTAGAAAATAGGTATAGTTGGCCTATCATTTGGATTACAAGATACATTCCATATTAGAATATCTCCTTTTTGATGGTTTATTGAAATAAGTGGATATAAAAAGTTCTTAGAAAGTACGTGGCATAATATTACCAGTATTCCTATTCACGTAAGGGAAACTTGGTACCCAACATTCAGTTAGAGCAGGAAGAAATATTTTAGAAGAATATTTATGTGAAATAAAAGGAATAAATAAAACATCTAATTTATTATGTTGTAGTTATAAAACTATACCAGACTTTACTGAATCTAACTTAAATAGAGAAATTAGAGATTCTGATTTAGAATTGTGTATTCATAATTGTTTTTGTGCATAGAGTATGGGAGGAGAAATCACATTTATGTGATGTCCTGATTATGCAGATTAAATAATATTTATTGTTTAACGTGGTTGAATCCAATTGTAGATTATAGTCGTAGTTTTACGCAGTCGCAAGGTATAGTCAATAAATATTCAAAATATACAGTTTACAGTAGGAAACAAGTTAAAAATTAATTATGCCCTTTTTTTTTTGCCATGCAAGACAACAACTAGAAATATCTGACGGTGGGACCGGTAGACAGCCAGATACATTTTCCGTTTCAGCAATACGATCCCTTGCGACTAGATTGCCTCTAAATAATAATACTGAGGTTGCGGCTGCAAAATATTATTTCTATACAGATGTGGGTTATTTTCCTTTGGTGTCATTGAAGTACCAATAAGTTGTGAAAATGTTGCAGATAATCCTAGAAATATAAACAGCGTAGAAATCGCAACATTTATTTTCGCTAATCCTACTAATCTGGCTGTCATGAAAGCAATTGTTGGGAAAAGGGTAGAAACAGATAAACCCTCAACTAACACAAAGAGTAATTGCAGTAGGGGAGTTCCTAGCGGGTAACTACATAGTTAAGACAATAATGCAAAAACATAATAAGCAATGTAACGGTTCTCGCATAATAGATCCTTTGTATGCACTCTAGCTTGATAAATCAGTAAATTTAGGCAAACTAAACAAAATAATGACATATCCGAACATGCAAGTAACTAAATAGAAACTAACTAATTAAAACCAGCACATTTTAACCATTCTAAGTCTAGGATTACAAATTAAATTTTATGATGCTTTGAACGAGTATGAATTATTCAACAGCAACAGTTGCAAGCCCTGCTGCAATTATCGCTTGTGCCCTTAATGCCCGATGATAGTCTTTAACTTCAATAACCTTTTGCATCCCTAGGTTAAACACAATCCCACCAACTCCCTTTCTGGACAGCGATACCATTTGCTAGGATTCTTTTCAAACAAAACCATTGACTCGCCAAGTAAATGCAGATAAGCTTGGGATTTCTAGGCCAAATGATTGTAATTAATAAGCCTTGTGTTAAGTATAATTATTAGAGATTTACAGCATAACTTGGCATCATCAAACTTTTAAATTGTAAGACATTCACTAACATGATTAATCTTATAATTAATATAAATCCTTGAATATATTTGACGATAGGAGCTTTTTCCATGCTAATTCCAAAAGACGTTCCTCCAATTATGGCAAATCTTATCTTACCACCACCTTTAAATGTATCATGACCAAGGTAAAACAAAACATATATCCAAAGGCTGAATTCAAACCCACGAGTTGAACGGGGTTTAGAATTGTAATCATGGTAGAAAACACGAGCAAGAATTTGCAGTCTCAATCACCCAAGCATATCCACCGTCCACGTATAATTCGCTAGCAGGAAGTTTTGAAACAGGAGTTTTTCAAGGTCAGCATTATCTAAATTCAATTTACTTTGAATAGAAGCAGTATCTGTTGAATAAATAAATGATGGAGGCAGAGCTTATTAAATACAAATGTATAGATTAAGAAATATTTTTAATCAATATTAATATTGTTTCGAATAATTGGTTTCCGATCTATAGGATATCGATGCGAATAGCATAAGTTTTATTCCAAAAAGTTTCAGACTACTCACCACCTGAGCTCGTTTCATATCTGTTTTTTACATATTTTTCTCTCCATAAGAATAAAAATATTCAAATTCGGCCAAGAATGATACTGCTGTTTGGAAACACTAGTTGATGCGGAATAATCCAGAAAGAAATATTGGTGGCCAGCATTTGGCCAAAATATCATCGATGAAAATAAATGTGTAAAGCTTATATTTCAGAATCTTTAGATAAAATAGTAATACAGAATATATGATTTATCATGAATATATATAATCTAAACTCATTCTTTTCGTGCAGAATTAAAAAATGTTACAGATACAATCAAATGTATGTACATAGCGCTATCTTATAATAACTTAATCTGGTTTATAGATCTAACTTTATTCTAACCTTGCTCATACAATAATCTTTGTACTCCTCTACGAGAGAAGGGTTGTTTATTTCAACCTTGCCATTAACTTCACTTATAAGATCCTCATTTCCCGTCAAAAGGACCATGCTCTTGAAGGAGAGGTATTCTTGAGGTATGATCTTATCCGCCTTCTCATTGCATAATAGTCTAAAAACATTAGCCGCACATACTTCACCCATTCCATTTGCCCATCCTGCAGTTTTTATAACTGGCAAATCAACAATATCTCCAACACAAAAAATGTTTTGTACGGTCTCTTTCGAATTGGAAAGTTGCAAGTACTCGTTTACCAACATATTGCCTTGTTCTGAAACATATTTATCTTTTATATCCTTAGATAGCATGTTAATATTATTCTTTTTGCCAGTGCTCCAATAATTAAATTGTGATTCAATAGTCTTACCGTCAGTTGATACCAAGTTACCATTAGGTAACTCTTCGGCAATCCTAGTTTCAAGGAAGATGTTCATACCTGAATCTTTCAATGATTTATGTACCAAGTTTTTGAACTCATCAGAAAGGGGCTCTGGAGGAAACAGCGAGTGTGGGTGAATTAAATTAACTGTTTTTTCAGGATAATATTGCTTAATGTCAGAAGCAACTTCAATTCCAACAGCACCGGCACCAATAACAGATATTGAATCATACTGTTCAACATTCTTTCTAAATTCATTCATTTCATTTAGGAACGAGAGTTTATCACAAGACATAGGGGTTACTGGAGGACCCCTGTGTCTGCCTGATGCCAATACTGCAAAATCAAATCCAAGAGAAGATACTTGAGGCCGTTCATTCATTACGTATTCAATACGGTTTAAACCCATTTTTGTAACTGTCCCCTGAATATGATTCAACTCAAAACCAATTTTTTTGTTTTCAGCAGCTTCGTATGTTCTGATATTTTTTTCATTCTTGAAAATATTATTGAATTTAATACCGTTTAGTTTATCATATGAAATATATTGAGTTGCAGCAAAATCAGTATCTACAATTGCTCTAGGAAGACCGATAACATTTAAAAACCCTGACTTAGGCTCAATCATAGTAATAGAGAACTTTCTTCTAGGTTGTAACGGCAAAATTTTCCCATTTTGACTCGCAGTGAGCTGACTGATAAAATTTTTAATAAATGACAATCCAGCATATGATCCACCAATTATCAATATGTTAGTAAAATTACCAGGAAGAGCGGCAAGGTTCCTGTTTACTTCCTTTAAAACACTCATGTTAATTATTATCAGATTTCCACTTTTGAAAGATTAGTGAAAACATCCACCTATTTGTATGATTGGTACCTTATCGAATGCGAAGGTTGTTGTAGGTAGTACAAGAGCCGACTCGGACTCTTTTCGGATCCATGAAAAAAACATGCATCTAATACAAATATACCGGACCGTGGTCGGAACCGGAACAAGTTATCGGATATTGCGGTTGATTCGGAACAATTTTAATCTTCCGATTACACACGTCCGGATTTATTTCGGAGGCAAAAGAACTTCCATATTCATTCCCGAAATTTGTTACTTATGAAAAAATATAATGGATGGAGAAAGGACTTTACGATGTTCTCCGACTGATGACCAAGCGAAACATGGCAGTCAATCTGACTCTCCTTCGATGCCAATAATACCTCTAATCAATGCTCTGATCGAGGATCCAGGTATTCAACAGCAAAATTTTCAGGGTTGTGATTCAGAAAATTTAAGACTAAACTTGGCAATCACTCTGCCTCAGAAGCAGTTTAAAAGAATGAAGGTTGCTAAGGCGTGTGATAGATGCCGCTCTCAAAAGACCAAATGTACGGGAATCATGCCATGTCGTTCTTGTATTAAGCATGGAATTCTGTGTCATTATTCTACACAGCGTAATGGAGGTAGAGATAACGAGAAAGTACGCGAGAAGAGGAGCATCAGAAAAGATAACTTGGAGGGAAAAAATTGGGCAAATCTGAATAACATTAAGGCTGCCTCACATCACCATATTTTAAATTCTACAGTCGAATCAAAGAAGGACGCATATATCGTTGAGTTAGAAACAAAAATAAAGAAACTACAATCGTTGAATAACTTGAAAGTGGGTAATTATTCTCCTTTGCTCAATCAGGCTGAAAATGAGGACAATTTTTCGGCATTAACTTTCGAGAGTTCTCGGAATAATTGGAAATATCTGTGTAGACATCAAAACATTTTGACGTTTAAATTGTTCAAATCGATATATGAATCCTTACTGAATGAGTCTAAATTGCATGTATCAATGCCAAGAATACAGGGCTTTGGCTGGAATATGTCTGGAGGTAGGTATTTGACCCCCGAAAAATTACCAAAAATTCCTGATTTTGAGCTACCTTCATCTGATTTTTATATAGATTACTATTTCCGTGGAATCAATTCGGTGTTTGCGATATTACACGAGAGTGTTTTCAGGGAACAGATAAAATCTTATAACAGCTTGGTTTTGGAAGAAAGAAGAACTTTAGCTACTTATACGAATGATGAGAGCCTTCACGAAACTAGGTTATTTCAAGCTCAATTATATTTAGTTTATGCATTATCCATTAGATTTTCTGAGTTTGAAAACCTGACAAGTAATTCCGTAGACATGCTTGCTTTAGAAGAGAAATTATTCAAATATGCACATAAGGTTATGCAAATTCTAAGTTTTGAATGGGAATCATTTGAATTGATTCAAGGATGGCTACTAATTACCTTATACCTAAGAATAACACACAGATTATCATCTTCGTTCATGGCTTTAGGTAATGCAATCACTATGACAAGGGCTATGGGTTTAGGTAATAGAGATCCCGTAGTCCGGAATGCTACAAGCTACGAGCATTTGAAGGCCAAGCGGATATTCTGGTGTGTTTATACATTCGATAGAATCTTTGGTTTACAATACGGTAGATATTGTGGTTTCCTGGAGGCCGATATATATAGGCCTTATCCGGTAATGTGTTTTGAAACCGAATCAGATGGTTGGTTGACCTTGCCAGCTTTTGCTATGATCCATTTGGCTCGTGTTTCAAATTATTTTAATGATTATGCTAAAGATAATTTAGTTGGTATAGATATCGAAAACTTGGATAGAAGTTTGGATGAGTTGGAAACTTGGTTCAGCGAGAATGGCTTTATTGATGATGATGTTTTAAAAGATGTTAGCTTGTCAGGTGATCTTGCCGATTTAGCCAAAATTCAAGTTAAATTGCATTATTACGACTTGATATTCTGTTTTCATGGAAGAAGCCTCTTCAGCTTCATTGGAGAAGCTGTCGATCTAAAAAATATGAAACTTCAAACGGTCTTAGATATATCTATTAAGGGTCTTCGAATTTTTCAAAAACTAAAGGAAACTAAATTGTTATATATTCCTTGGTACATGACTCTTATTTTGATATTCAATGTTGGGATTTATTCCGCGCTTTTTATTAATAGTGGTGTATTCGTTTCTCAGTCCAAGGAAAATTTATCAATTTCAATTTCATTGATTTCTCACTTAAAGGAAGCATCATTTATTGAAGCACATAGTATCAGACCAGAAGAAAAATTTACAATGGCAAAAGAATGTCTCTGGGCATTGAAGTTGCTTAATCATATGATATATTTAAGGTTCGCAGAAGATGCAAAAGAACTAATGGATATGGGTATAAATCATGGCTCAGATGATGTCAACAAACAAAATTTTTCTCAATTGGGTCGGATTAATAATAAAAACAATGCTGATAAGGAGCGTTATTTCACTCATAATGGAAGGGGTGAAACTTCCTCTGAGAGAATCATTTTCACAGAAAGTCCCAAGAGCCCTATGTTAGTATCGACACCATTATTAATGAATACTTTTAGTACTTTTGATTCCTTGAATCAATCAGAAAATGAAAATCTACTTGAAAATTTGCGATGGTTTGATCAATGGCTGGATTTTATTTAATAGGAGAGAGGGACATAGTAAATATGCTTATAAAAACGATATATGCATCGTTACGTCACTTAATAATGCATTAGATGTAGTATGATTAATGATACATAGAAAATTTATAGGCGTATAGCTTTACACACTTTTCTCACTAAAAAAGATAATTATTACAATATATTACTTTCGCTCAAATAACTTAAACTCTCAGTATTGTCTTAATCTTAAGCCTAATTTCTCATAATATTAAAGTATGGAATTGTATTTCAATTTGAGAGCGAAATATAATAAACTGAAGGGCTCATTTCAATTTACATTACCGGGCCGATTTGACTGTTCCGTTCCGACTTGTATCTCTCATCCTTATTCCCTTACCAAACCTTCATAGTATAGGGCGCGATGTCCTCAGAGGTATTAGGAACGAACCAGAGATATCTATTTTCTATCAATATCGCTTTCCCTCCCAGCTGGGAATCCGAGAAGTAATTCTCATTTGTTGTGACTATTATAGCACTCATATATGAACTATTCTTGTATTGCATGGCAAAGCGATATATATTTTGCGAATTTTTTTTTTCTTTTTGTACAACAAAAAATTGCACATCTACCAATCAATCTTCTTCTTTTCTACATACAACCGTCCTCGGTGCTTAAGAAGTTATATTGGATAGAATAACGAGCAATTATGCACAAAAGCCTAGATCTTTTGTAGATGTATCTGATAAATTGATTGACTATATTAAGACGTTAGTCTGCAACTTAATATTTTTTGTGAGGATTCTCAGAAAAATGAGTGAATCAATTTACGACAACAGTAAAGTAACTGCTAATGGAAAGATTTTTTCCTTAAACGAAGAAACTGAAAGCCGTATTCCCTATGAAAAAGCTTCTGAGGATGAGAAAATATCTTCATTAAATTCCGAAGTTTTAGAAATAACCGGAGAGGATATCAATGCTATTCTTATTCCAGATGATGAGAATGCCCCAGCCTCTACTTTAAGAATGTGGGTTTTAGCATTTTGCTTAAGCGCTGTAATTGCTGGTGTTGACTCTTTTTTTTCAATGAGGTTCCCTACGGTCTCGATAGGTGCTGTTGTTGCCCAGGTTATATCTTATCCAATAGGAAACATTTGGTACCATATTGTACCTTCAATAAACATTCCAATTCCGTTCGGTTTAGGTTTTAATTTAAACCCAGGTAGGTTTAATCAAAAAGAACATGCATGTGTATTTTTTTTTGCTAATCTAGTTGTTAGTGCTGGATTGGTCAACAATTTAGTTGTGGAACAATTCAAATTCTTTGATAGAAACATTGGTATTGGAAGAATGATTTTATTCAACTTGACTTGTTACTTACTTTCATTTGGTTGGACTGGCTTAGCATTAGATATATTAGTTACTCCAAGCGACCGTGTTTGGCCTGGGGTACTAAGTAATATTGCCTTATTCAAGACATTGCACTCAAATGAAAATCCTCTAGTTCGTCATTGGAAAATGACAAGATATAAATTTTTTATAATTATTTTTGTGGGATCCTTCTTCTGGTATTGGCTCCCTGATTTGTTAATGCCATTCTTGAGCACAATTGGAGCTTGGATTAGTTGGTGTAAGCCATCAAGTGCTGCTCTTTCTCAAGTTTTTGGTGTCAAAACAGGCCTTGGTTTATTCCCACTAACTTTTGATTGGAGCCAAATTACTTCTCTCAATAACCCTCTTACTACTCCTTTTTGGTCTGTGTGTTGTATTTTTGGGTCATTCGTATTTTGGATCTGGATTGTAATGCCAGGATTATATTACCAAAACCACTGGCAAACGGCACACTTACCTATCATGACAAGTTCAATTTATGATTTAAATGGAGAATCATATCAGGCAACGAAAGTAGTTGATGAAAAATGGAAACTCGACTATAGCAAATTCAAACAATACTCACCAGTGATGTTGCCAATTGCATTCTTGATGAATTTAGCCCTTGGATTGGCTTCTTTTTCTGCAATGATGGTGCAATTTATTCTTAAGTTCAGGTCAGAGGTCATCATTCCCTTGAAAAATAGAAAATGTCATTCTGATTCACATAATGTGGAAATGTACAAATACAAAAGGTTCCATGGGAGTATTTACATTTTGGTCTCTGTTATTGGCTTAGGTCTAGGATTTGCATTTTGTGAAGGCTTTGAAGACTCGCAAATAAGTTCTGGGGGGCTCATTGTTTCAATACTTATTGGAGGCTGTTTATTTGTTCCTTTAGCTTTAATTGAATCAAGAGCAAATATGAATATTAATTTGGCTCCCTTCTTCGAAATAATATCTGCATTCTGGTATGAAGGGCAACCACTAACTTTATTGTATTTTTATTGTTTTGGTTTCTCAACGTTACAGCATGCCATGCATACGTCTCAAAGTGCTAAAGTAGGTCATTATGTGAGGGTCCCTCCTCGTATCACTATGACGGTTTTGCTTGTTGCTTCAATTTGGAGCTCTTTAGTTAGCCCCTCAGTCGCCGGTTATGTTGTCACCCATATTGACGATATTTGTACTCCAGATGCGGCGAATAATATGACATGTAGAAAGACTAAGACTCAATTTAATACCCATTTGGTATGGGGCCTATTTGGAAATAAACTATTTTCTCATGGAGGAAGATATTCTTGGGTACTTTATTTTTTTTTGGTTGGTGGCTTGACCAGTTTAATTCATTTCATTTTAATTAAATTTAAACCTAACGGATTCTGGAGAAGATTCAACCCTATATTATTCTTTGGAGGAGCTGCAAATATTCCTTCAGTCACAGGTTTTAATTTCTCCACGTGGTTTGTTGTTGCGGGGATATTTAATTTTTACATTCATCGTAGATTTGTTCAATGGTGGAGGAAATATAATTTAGTCATGGCAATTGGATTGGATTGTGGGCTTGCAATTGCTGCTATCATAATATACTTTTGCATAGTATATACTGGGGTTTCTGAAAAAATACAGTGGTGGGGGACTACTGTTGGGAGTGATGGTTGTGATTCTAAGGGATGTCCACACCTAAGTGGATCAATGGTCCGGCCATCGGAGTGGTAAACATTATTACTATAGGAGATTTTTATATTTTATAAATTGCCGTGAATGATCCTGCAAAAAACTTACATGTAGACTGAATTGATGTTCTATTTTTCGATGAGCAGTAGGTAAACTTCAATAGTGTTCGCCAATCTGATAGGTAAATTGATAGCCGCTAAAAAAATAACAATTAATTTATAGGACAAATTCATGTCGCAAGTCTTCTATTTTCTGGCATTCGAGAAGTTTGTAAGTGCTATGCTATAAGCTGATTAAACTTAAAAGCGTACTAGTGACAGTATTAGTTTATTTATAGACAAGAAGCGAATACATGTTGAGTCAGCTTTTGTTGAGAATCTTTTTAATTGGGGTTAATTATGAAAAATCTACTCTGCGTACTACTTGAAAATTTTCGATAAAATAAAAAAACTACTATGTTGATAATTATCACAATTCTTTTCCATGCTGCACGTAACAGAATAAGCGAGGGACGTGCATACAACAAAATGCTTCGAAGAAAGTTAATGTGCTGTGGTTTTGCAACGCATATTTACTACATACCTAATCTAACATGGAGCCGCCTGTAAGTAAAGTTATTAATGTGGAAGATGCTCCAGTTATGGTTTTCCGGGGCCGGATTGTGAAAGTCTTTTCAAAGGGTTTTACTCCTTCAACGAGGCTTTTGCCACAAGTTATTCCAAATACTATACCCTGCAGGCGGGTGATACGGAATGGACAGTGGTATAAATTCATAGATAAGCTGCGCGTAGTATCTTTCCTGGTACCCCCCTCCCGACTGTCCTCGTACTGTTCATGGATCTCATTCATATCGGGAAAAGCAGCGAAAATGGGCATGACTACGTATGAGATAGAGGAAAAGGACAAACAGAAAAGAGTTGTCCCCTTTTTAAGTATTTTCTTTTTCTAATGGCATATTTTTGCATGCTGCAGCAGTAATAGTGCTAGTTGGTCATAAAAATGCGGTGGTCATATTTTGGTGGTCTATGTTCTTGTTGGAAGAAACCGCCCAAAACAGCAGGTTGCAGCCTCACAGCCGCGCACAATACCAAATGACTTCCAAAAAGACCCCTGCTGGTTACTTTACCAACCCCCGCCATGCAACCACCTGCAAAGCTCTTCCGGCAATAAAACCATACGAAATATGATAGCTATATAAGTCCTATTTCTATTAAAGGATATTATGCTTCCATTTCTAATGAAAGCTTTACCGTTAAAGGTATCCGGAAGTTGAGAGCAGACAAGGCAGGGGCATATACATTTTGGGACAAAGTATTCAAAATTATAAGGGAAAATAGGTTACATCTTAATAGTTCTGAACTATACATATCGTTTTACACCACAAAAACAAAACACCGATACCACATACCCGTTACCGAAACATTGACAACATTGTAACATCATCACCGCGTAATCGATTACATTCCTCTTTCTACGTCAGCCTCCCGACGCAACAACAACAAAACCAACACTTCTCGTACATCCCTCCCCCTCAACTACGCAAACAAAAAGATCTCTGCCACCTACAGCTCTTGTGCTACAGGCCTTGGTCTTCCGGATAACGTATTGAAGGGGGGATGTAAAATTTGAGGTGTTTACTACGTAGCGTAACTTATGAAGGGACGTTTTTGAAAGTTTAATAAGATACATCCTAATTGTTTTTAAATCTAAATATACCCCCAAGTTCTATCTAATTTCATATACTGATCATTAATTAACCTATAAATGGCTTTGGTAAATACGGTTCTTCTAAATACTTCAATTCTTCATCTGTGAACTTGACCTTGAAAGCCTCTACAATATCCTCAGCACATTTCTCTGAATTTATACCAACAATAGGCAAACAACCTTTCTGAATGACCCATGCTGTGGCAATAACTGCCATACTAACATTCTTTGCTTTAGAAATCTTTTGCACCCGATTGATTAGCTTAAAGGTTAAATCTGAAACAAGTAATGTCCTAAGGGATTCGATTTTTAAATCCGAAATAGTGGATTTAAAGGTTAAATCCGTAAAAGTAAAAAAACTACTTAGACTCGATTTTTCGATGAACTGAGAAATTCTAAATACAGGGTAAAATACTAATACATTAAATAGTTATAATTAAAGAATGGCAAATACTACAGTCTTTGTTTCAAGTGCTACAGGTTTCATTGCTCTTATATTAGTAAAACAATTATTAGAAAAAGGATATTCTGTAGTTGGATGTACTGAAAAAGGAGAACACTTGAAGAGACTCGTATCAACTGATAAATTCATTTATGAGGTTATACATTCGATTTAAAAGGAAGGGGCATTTTGATAAGGCTTTGCAAAATCACCCAGAAGTAACAGTATTTCTTCATACAGCTTCTCCATTTCACTTTAATACTGGTTGTGTTGAGAAGGATTTGCTACTTCCAGCAATTCACGGAACTGAAAATGCGTTAAAGGCTATTAACTCCAACGGACCTCAAATTCGTAAAGTTGTTTTAACATCTTCATTGGCAGCAAATTTTGATGTTCAACATTATAATAATCCTAATAGTACATTCAGCAAAAAAACCTGGAATCCATTGACTTATGATCAATGTAAAAATGATCCTTTTGTGGGATATGTTGGTTCTAAGGCGTTAGCCGATAGAGAGCGTGGTAGTTCATAGAAGAGGAGAAACCTAACTTTACCATGAATTTTGTCAATCCAGTTTATGTTTTTGGACATCAAGCTTTTGATGAGCACGTAAGCGGACAGCTTAACACTTCTCCTGAGGTGATTAATTCTTTATTAAAGCTTAGTAAGGATGACAAACTTCCTGAGACTATTGGTTATTATATTGACATGAGATATGTTGCAAAAGCACACATTACAGCTTTTGAAAATGATAAGCTTACAAAGAGAGGTTACTTGTATCTGCAGGAAGTTTTGATAACCAAGATATTATTGATATAATTCATAAGATCTTTTGGCAAATGGCAGAAAAATTACCAAAAGGTAACACATACGGCGGCTACACTACTACCTTAATGAAATTCGATACCAAAGAACTCGTGAATTATTAAGATTCGTCTTGAGTAAATTATAGTTGACTCAGTCAAGCAAATTTTAGATGCTCAAAGAAGTGATTTTTTATTAAGATTTGATGGGCTCAAATGATGAAGATTGATATATCTTAGTTAGCCTATAAAGAAGATTTATAGTAAGTAGAACAATCTATAAAAATACAAGTGATTTAAATCAAATTTTCAGTTTTCATTTGCAATGATGTCGAAAATATTTTTTTAGTTAGTCGAACACGATAGTTTCATATATTTGTTGATTTCAATATAGATATCAGAATCCTCATTTCATTCCAAAATATACCTCTAATATACTCAGCGAAAGTATCTTCCGTCATTTTAATTTGAACATTAGCTTCACTCATTTTTTCTTGTGGGATTTCCGCGATTTATGGGAATTTCGGAAAGCAGGTATTGATGTTCATTCCGGTACACTGGAGATATCTTTTCCTAATACAAATTTGAATCAGGTTTTAAAGTAAAATTCCGATTACTTAATTGTTCCTAATTAACGCCGTGTTTTCCGCAAAACTAAACATTGTGTGCTCATTTTGATTGCGATCATAACATTTTGCCTATGTAGTGAAGATGAAGATACCCTCCCCTCTAATATCTGAATTTGACCTTCAACAAAACAAGCATGGGAATTTTCATAATAAATAAAGACTCAATATTCTTTAGTACGGTCAACATCTGTTAATAATTTGACAATATTCAATATGGCACAATAATAGCTTACGAAGATAATTCCAATTGCTTTAAACCTTCATAATTAAAAGAAACTATGTTGTAGGTTTTACTCCCAAAGCATTTCACAGACTATTCTTCTATATTGCATGTATCTGAAGGCGGGGGGGGGGGGTTGTGATAATGAAATCGTTAGTGGGATGTTAGAGAATATGAAACTATACTATTATATATTGAATGAATTACAAAATGATAAAACTATACTCCCTAAGAGATTGTTTACTCTTTCTTGAATTTAAGAGCCGCGCAGTCATCACCGTTTGGCTTCTGATTAGGATAAAACACTAATGCGTGTTGCTTTTTTGAGTAGTGATAAGGATCAGTTATATTTTTACAAGCGAAAAACCCGTCTTCTGTATCGTTGAGCTTCAAATATCCGTCCTCAAAAGTCACTGGATCCGCTTTTAAAATACTTAGAGAAACAACATTACCCAATAATGTGAAATTCTTATCAAATTCTTCTCCGTAAAACCATAAACGCTTTTTTTGATCATCATAATTGCCTGCCAATGCTGTTCCCTTGCTATCAAGGAAAAACTCGTAGTCAATTCCAGCGCCCTCATGTCTACTCTGAAGCTGCGCATGATCGAAGCGATCATCCTCTGACTCAATGTAAATTTTAACCTTCTCAATTGCACCAATGACAGCGCCTAAACATGCTATAATTGCCAAAATACTGATAAGCTTCATTTTTTTTTTCTGTTTTACACTCAGAGATGCTACAGTCCCATGAACCTATCCTATGGTCATATTTAAATAGTAATAAACCAAATTAATGATAGCGGAGATAAAACTAAAAATAGTCGTAAAACTATATTAAAGAAATTATGGTCATCAGTTAACGATCCTGCAATGATAGGCACCTTGCAACTTCAAAAGATCTGTGTTACTAAAAATACTACCACGACTTTTACTTTTAGTGTTATATACAGGAAGTTTGCTGCATGAGACTTTCCCTCTCATGATCAGTATTATGAGCGTTGTTATGAACTTAAATCACCCATATACGACCCATATACGCCTGTTACAAGTGGAAACAACCCACAAAAATTCATCTCTATACTATGCTACCTTTTTTCTGGCTCAATAGTTTTTTTTATATTTTCTATATAGTTATCAATTTTCTGGGATTTTTACAATTACATATACAACATACCATCTTTATCAATATAGATATATATCTCCGACCAATATTCATCCAGTTTCATCTCATCCAGATCAGATATAACTACCACCGGATCTTTGGGATAAGGATACTGGGCCATTTCCTGGCTGAACCACTTTTGACCTCAATTAAAGCCAATGGCTGATAGTGTAGGTTTTTAGTATATGTCACCATATCTGCATAAGAGTTGAATAAATTATTTGACTGATGTGGTATCTTAGTATAGACTCCAGTCTGGCCAATAGCATTTTCTTCTTCTACTTTGTGGTTGAAAACGTAATATTGATGCAACATATTCGCATATGGGTCTGAATAGGAAGTTCATGAAATTGTTTTTGTATGTGCTTTCAGCTTTCAGCATTGTATTCAATATTTGTGACAAGTTTATACTTCGATTGAAAACCAAATAAGAGTAGGTTGGTTATTACTCTTTTCCTTTGATCTTGCTAAAAGTATTAGAGAATAGATCAGTTTTCAAAATAGAGATGAAAGTAGTTCAAGGCTATTTAAGCAATCGTAAGCATATTCAACATTTAAGAGTGCGAGATAGGCGCCTGGCGAACTATTTGCTGCAAACTGCCAAATACGAGTGCGAGTTAGTCTCTGTATAAAAAGTAGCATAAACAATAATAAGCCTATTAAATGAAGGGGCTGGGAGGAAATCGCAAATACTACTAAAAGAAAAAGGATTAATTTACAATAGTATTTCATCTTGCACGCCATATCCGCAATAGAAAATGAGAATAAGTTAGTGGACTTTCCTTCAGGAATACTGCTAGATTTATAATTTGAGCATTGGAGCAATATAGGTGATTAGGAATTATCGAATTATACAAGACATTGAAAGATGACATGTGTAACTTTGTATTCACCCTAATACATTGATTTCACAGCATAAATAATATCGCAAAATATTTCCCAGAGATGTACTATGCCCTCAAACCAGGTGCCAATACTATATAAACCTTTAAATCGATGAATGTTTCTTTTAAGAGACCATGAAGTTAAGAAATTTTGGTTAAAAAGTATGGTCAAAGTTATATCGCGCTTTAATAGTGAAATCAAGCATGTCTTGGTCTCTGACAAATGTTAAATATGAAATTATGCATAGGATAAGTAAAGCCGCCTTTGCTGAACAAAATATTTTTCCACGTAACTATCTTTACTATAAATCTGGCTCTAAAGAATCAATGAGAATCTCTAAGAATAATTGAGGTGTGGAGAAGGCATAATGCTTAATTTATACCTGGGTGCGTGAGCCACCCACCCTATTTAGTATCACAAATCTGATTAAGGCCTGTGGATTAATTTGCAATAAATAGCATGAGAATAATGCTTTTTATATGTCTTCTGTTTGTTTTCTGTATCACTCCATTTGTTCGGAATAAATAAATCCAAAAACTATTAGCCTTAAGTGATCCCTTGATAATGTTTAAATTAAATCGTTATTATAACACTAATGGGAGATTTGTTTCTTCTTCCTTATCTCAATGCTCTTCGTTTAGTTCGAAGTTGAGGAGAAATCTCTTTCAAGGAAATCAATCTCTTTCATTATGCATCCCCCACAAAAATTGATAAAATGCTCTTGGGAGTTTACATATTCACGATATGCATGGAGCTGAATTAGGGTCCTTCATAAAAATGTGCTTACGCTTGGGGACAAATACAGTGAAGTATAAAATTTATTAGTATACAAGACTTTTCTACAAACCCCACTCTTAATAGAAAATATTTCAATTTTCTTTTATATTTTAGTCTCCCTCACTGAAAATAGAAAAAAAGAAAGACTAGGCACTAATGTAGATAAAACTTATCTTATTAATCAAGTTGTGCAATATATGTCGTATTAGGATTCAATTGTTAAAATCCACTTAGGTGAACAAACTGATGCTAAGTTATTGCTAGGTACTTATACTTGTGGAGAAAAACCCGGTACCTTCCAATGGAGATCTGGTGTTTTAACTATTGCAGTCCAAGAGGGCAGATTCACATAACTGACTATAATTGACGACTGGGTTTTATCAAAAGGCACCCTTGATAATATGAATTAGGGAGAATAGACACTTCGTTATTTTAGCAAAGTTTATAAATCTTCTGTTGAGAATTCTAGCGTACAATGAGAAATATGATGAATTACAACGTACAGAAATTTTTTCACCTTATGCAATCACAAAAAAGGTAAATATAATTTTGAACAATGGTTTGAAGAATTAAAATTGTCCATAAAAGACTTCAAGCAGAATTTATTAGAAATTAAAAAAAATTTAAAACTGCTAGAAAGTCTGATCTTATTTACAAATAAGGAGTGGGCCTCGAAGGTTTTGTTTTCTTTTTTTAAGGAAATATATTTATAAAGCTTTCCTCTGTGGAAGTGATAGAGTTTTTACAAGGGATCAACAAAATATTCTCTAGGATTTTCAAATATGATATTGTAAATTATAAAACTACTATCGACCACTATGTCATCAATGATCCGGAAACTGTTGCATATGGCATTACTCTAAGGTCCATAATAAGAAGAGTAAGCTAGTTAAATGTTTTGTGGTAGTCAATGAAACTGACTGGATCAAGTTGTTAATGTTCTTCTTCAACGCACTACTGGATCATCGAGGAAATCGCCTGATAATAAATTTACTGGTAATTTGGACCCAATAAAAAAAAATTCTGACAATCACCAGACTGATGGAATGATTGTAACACATATTGTCTAATTATATACGATACCGCAAAACGTACCCTATTTTGAAAATTCCATACATGGTATTTGTCAAATTGTACTATTACTCTAGCCAGCTATGGGAAGAGAATGATTTCATGTGCTTTCGCATTCCCGTTAAAATGGATTATTATGGTATATTCTTCAATGAACTTATAATTAGTGAAAAATTTGCAAAATCGCTGTTTATTTCCAATTTTCCAAAGCTCAAAGGTGGTATTTTATGGGAGTTTTCGAAAAGCTTCAAGTAATTCTGGTAAATATTTACCTAGCTTTTATTCAGAAACTCAAATTCCTTCATTGCAACTGGTACATTTCTTCTTGAACGGTGTATCAAATCCAATATTCAACTCTCAATAAATGAGATAAATGGATAGAAATAATTGTCTTGAAATATCTCATAGCTTTATAGAATGTGTTTTTGTGTGTTTTTGTTCCATTTCTGAAATGTGAATTGCCTATTTTTCCTATTGATGGATAATTACATGTATAAACCTCTGAATATTCTTTATAAAGTCTCAAAATAAACAAAGACCAATTTCCACTTTTTTTGTCTGGGAAAGCGAAACATCACCCACTTACAATACCGTCAAAAGATCAATGTGTTAGAGCACGTCCAACTTGTTTGGTTTCTCTTTGTCAAAAGAACCCGTCTTAAGAAGACTATCCTAAGCCGAATTTTGTTCGTTCACTACATTCTCCTTTTATTAGTGTGACATTGCATCCGTGACATTGACTTTTTCTATTGAAGGGTTTTACATGTTAACTATAGTGAGAGCCAATATCTAGGGCAGATGATAATATTATATAATCAAAGAAAATTGATCTTCTCACCGCATAAATTGATCCGAAACTGAAATTAGTCGCCTGCAATATTAATTTCACAAATATTATTAGAATTTTCCGTATATCTTTTTTTTTATTGTATCATCCTCGAATTTTTGGCTTCGATGTCCACTTTTATATAAGCTTTCTGAAATAACTGGAAGTTAAAGAACACTTAGAAATATCATAAAAATGGACCCAAGAAAACCATTAATAACTTGGCGTCCAAGACTTTCTTCTACTCGTGCAGGAATAAACATATATTATCACGAATATAATAGGTGGTAATATAGCTTTATGCCAAAGAAAATACAATTATCGAAAATATGTTAGATAATTAGAATAATATCGATATCTAGAAATTTGTAATGCGCAATCATTATTAGTCTCTCGTTAGAGGAATTGAATGCACAACGAAGTATGAGTTCTGTTTATTGACAACTCCTGCGAATGCATTATAGAACGCAAGTAGCCCAGTAACCACCCCCACGATACCAGCAGCTCTCGTAACTTTGACATTCTGAGTAAAGCTGCCAGCACATAATAGCGCGTATGTGAGTGTGACAAGCCAAAGTAGCAGACAAAAAGCGACTGTAGATTTTAAAGTAAGCATTGATAACATGAAAGTATATATGGTCCATGATAAAAGAAGTAATCCCATAGCATTGTTGAACTCAGTTTCGTCTTCATAAGCAGCAGCTATCCCAAAAGCTTCTACGTTAATAGCTGCGTAAGAAATCCAGAAGGCTCCATATGAAGTCAAGGCAGTAGCACCAAAGGTGTTACCAATAACCATTTCCCAGCACCCAGCTAAAAATTGTACTAGTCCCCCGTAAAATGCTGCCACACCTAAAACTGCATTGGATTCAACAACACCCATCGCCTGTGCATTGTACATTCCCAGAAGAAAAGTGACCATCGCGAACCCAGCCAACCCTAATGGCGCTGCGTTACCAAACTTGTTTACAGGCGGTAATGCTAATCCTGGATTAAGTGTACCACCGAAGGCATGCATTAATTCGTGTTTGTAATATGTTTTGCCTCCGATGATGATGAATTCATTGCCCTTTCCCGCTTCACGAATTGGGGAAATAGATTCATTAGAATTCGATTCATTTTGATAGGAAGTAGGAGAATCAACCATGTGAAAGTTCAGCGAAAGATTTGTCGATTTTCTATCTATAAGATTATGACTGGCAACTAATATAAATCAGCTAAGAATTAATGAAATTGGTATAATGAATTTAGAAAATTGTTCACACAACAAATAAGGCTCTTTTATGTGAAAAATATACTTTCGGTAGTGCACTTTTGACACATATGTTCTTCTATCACCTGCCCCACATATCAATTCTTCCACCCGCACCAACCCTTGTTTTTTTGGCACTACTGAAATTCTCTCTTACATATTTAAATTTTCTTTGCGTAGACCCCCACAAATTGTTTGTCACATTACATAATACTCCCAACACTTTGTAATAATCTCCGCATGATCGCGTTAAACGAGGCAGCATAGCAATGTGAACAAAGATGGCCACCGGAATTAAAATTCCACCTGAATAAGTGACACTAAGAAAAAGAACTACGCCACTTCCACAGGACCGACGAAATATATGAAAAATTCGATCATATCTAGAAAAATCGAGAAAGGTTCAATAATTGGAAAATACATCACTTAGGCATTTTGACAGTATTATTAAGATGTGCGTTTTATTATGTGCGTTTTATTGAGAAGACACGATTTGACAGCGCATATGAGTTCACTTGTCTCTCACACTAACCAGCCTTTTTTTTACAGTTTTCATGCTGGTATTAGCGGATTCTTTACATATGATATTATACCTGACTAGTAAGAATAATACGTAGTTAATAACTCGACTGTTAATGACAATGTTTTTTTTATCGAGAAGATCATTTTGAAGGCCCCCGATTCGGAATCATTATATGTTCCAGCCAATATATAATCTTAAGTGCATAGCGAATATTAAGAGATTTCTTTGTTTATAGTAAAATCTCCTGTAAGCTATTAAGAATAATTAAATATAGATACGCTTCTCTCAATCAGGCAATAATTCCCGACATGTATACTGATAAAATAATTTTCAGAACTGTCAAATTCAAATTCCGTACACTTTGCATGAAAAAATAAGGTTACAGAAAAGGAGAAACGTAATATAGAGTCACTAACTCTACGTAAATATTTTTGAAAAGAACAGTTTGATACGAAAATTTCTGGAATATAAATACATAAAAAAACTGTTTCAATCAAAATAAATTTAAAGGTTTAAATAAATTAAGTTCTGGAATAAAAGTAGGGAGAAATAGTTTACATAAGATATATTGAAAATTATAAGAGTATATCAAATATAATAGACTATCCAACTTTTATATGCTTGATTATGCTGTTAATATTCCACAAAAGATGTAGATAAGCTAATATCAACAAACTAAATCTGCATTTAGTGCTGCATTCATTTTAGTTGCTATTTTATTCTTACCTTTTGATTTAGAAATACTTTCTATTTATAATGCTCGTTTACTACGGGTATCCTCTCTTCTTCGAAGAGAGAATTTAGCAGAGTTTTTATTAGCTAATAATATACTTAGAACCTGCGCAAACATTGTGATACATGATGGATAAATATTTAATTTGTAACTATGATAAAATGCCCTTGCTTGTGAGTGTAAATATAAGTATAAAGAAGAGTTACTTTAAACAAAAGCTTGGGTACATAATTAGTACCCCCGATATAACTATCTGATCTTCTAGAAACAGAGGTATAAAAAAAAAAAAAAAAAAAAAAAAAAAAATTTGGGTTTTTTTTTTTTTTTTTTATG